TGGCAATATAGGCAACAGCTTGGGGATAGTATTACGTTATACAATTTAATAAATTGTGCAGTTATCTGGTATGCACGTGAGTGGAGTATACAGTAGTAAAGTACTATTGCTTACCTTAGTCCTGGTCTTACTGCCTTAATATATTCAAGTTGCATGTTGGCATTTAAAGAGGCAAAGAACAGAGGACTGTATATATGTAGTACCTAAACATTTCAATCTGTGAAAACTGTCTGTTTCTCCTCTCTCAGAATCCATGTCCAGAAGCCAGTGCCTCGTTTGTTTCCAGAATCACTTACTGGTGGTTCTCTGGGTAAGGAAACACATGGGATGACAAACCTAACTCTAAAATACCAGATAAGCTCACTCTACCTAAGGGAGGAGGTATAGAGAAAAATGGCAAAGATGATAGGACCGAGGTTCATTCCGCTCTGACACTGAGTCAATTTTTTATGTGTTACTCCCAGCTAGAGTAAGGCTATGCAGCTCAATTAAGGTTAAATCAACACTAGAGGAGTCGCATGTCCATGGAAAAGGGCAAATGTAGTGCCCATCCTTAAGAAAGGGAAGAAGGATGATCCAGGGAACTACAGACTAGTCAGCCTCACCTCAGTTCCTAGAAAAATCATGGAGCAGGTCCTCAAGGAATCCATTTCTAAGTACCTGGAGGAGAAAAATGTGATTAGGAGCAGTCAGCATGGATTCACCAAAGGCAAGTCATCTCTGACAACCTGATTGCCTTCTGTGATGAGATGACTGGCTCTGTGGATGTGGGGAGACCAGAAGATGTGATATACCTTGACTTTAGCAAGGCTTTTGACATGGTCTCCCACAACATTCCTGGAAGCAAGCTGTGGAAGTATAGGTTAGATGAGTGGACTGTAACTGGCTGAATTATCGGGCTCAAAGGGTAGTATTCAATGGCTCAATGTCTTGTTGGCAGCTGGTATCAAGTGGATCAGTCCTGGGGCCAGTTTCGTTCAATATCTTCATCAGTGATCTAGAAGATGTAATGCAGTGCACCCTCAGCAAGTTTACAGATGCACCAAGCTGTGGAGAGTAGTAGATATGCTGAAGCGTAGGGCTAGGATTCTGAGGGACCTAGACAAATTGGAGGACTGGGCCAAAAGAAATCTCACGAGGTACAATAAGGACAAGTGCAAAGCCCTGCACTTAGGACAGAACAGTCATGCACTGGTACAGGCTGGGGGCTGACTGGATAAGCAGCAGCTCTGCAGAAAAGAACCTGGGGGTTACAGTGGACAGTAAGCTGAAAATTAGCCAATAGTGTGCCCTTCTTGTGAAGAAGGCTAACAGTATGCTGGGCTGCATTAGTATGAGTGTTGCCAGCAGATCGAGGGAAGTGATTATTCCCCTCTATTCGGCATTGCTGAGGCCACATCTGGAGTACTGTGTCCAGTTTTGGGCCCCCCACTACAGAAAAGGTATAGACAAATTGGAGAGAGTCCGGCAGAGGGCAATGAAAATGACTTCTGAGGAGAGACTGAGGGAACTGGGATTATTTAGTCTGGAGAAGAGAAGACTGAGAGAGGATTTAATAACAGCCTTCAACTACCTCAAAGGTGGCTCCAAAGTGGGTGGAGCAAGACTGTTCTCAGTGACAGCAGATGACAGAACAAGGAGCAATGGTCTCAAATTGTAACAAGGGAAGTTTAGGTTAGATATGAGGGGACGTGTCTACACGTGCACATTTACTGAACAGTAACCGAAAATACTGCGCAGTACGGGCACACATCTACACATGTATGCCCACACTGCCCAGTAAATATGGCAACTTATGCTGACTTGAGCATAAATTTCATACCTGTACCATGCAGATATCATATTTACACCTGATTAGTTACTGCACAGTAATGTACATGTGGATGTCTGATCTGGAACTAACTTTAGTCCACACACAGTATTAATGTACTTTAACGCCTACATGTTGACTTAAATGCCACATTTGTCTCCACTTTTCAGTCCCACCTCCAGGCTCAAAAATGGAGCTGAGAATTAGACCTGAATACCTACCATTATTCAGGAATGTGTGTGAATTTAGCTATTTCTGAGTAAATGTTCAGGTAGGCAAGCTCCTAGGCTCCTAGGCAAGCTCCTAGGGACTAGTTTAATCCCCATCAGCTTGGAAAGTTTTACGTGGACAGCAAATCCCTATATGCTTGTATGTTAGCAGCTCTTTGTGTGCTCTGCAGGCTACTCTGGAAGGGCTATCAGCAGCCATTAGAAGCAGAAGACCTATGGTCACTAATGAAAGAAAACTCATCTGAGGAAATTGTCTCCCAGCTTGAAAGAGAATGGAAGATGTATTGTGACAGAACCAGGCAGTAAGTGCCTCCTTCAGAGGGTGGCAATGTCTCTCATCTCATCTAGATGATGTGGGAGTAGTAGAGTGTTTGGAATAACAGGGACTAAAACACTACAGCAGAACAACATTTGAGACCAGTTGTGAGACTGCCTCGGATAGTCTGAATCCTGGACCTCAGGCCTCAGCCCACGTAAGGGCTGTGTGCTGTAGGGAAGGAGTCTCTCAGGCTGGCTGCAGAGAGCTTGGGAACACGCTGGCAGGGCTACTATCTGCAGAAGAGAATGGCCAAAGGATTCAGTCCTATGGAGTCCTTTTGTCATTCACCTGTGGGGGGGGCTGGACAGTGCAGTGAATATTCTGGAGAACTTCCCTTCCCTGGAGCTTTTCCTGCTGCAGAACAATCAGGCCCTTTGCCTTTTAGGCTCAACATTTGACTTGAAATGCACTGAAATCTTCTGGGGAATATCCTTGAATGACAAGGTATACAAAACTGAAGCTCTTTAGAGGAGGCATCATCTTTTTGCTGGGTGTTTGTACAATAACTTGTAGAAGTGTCTCCTGAACCACAACTAAGGCTTTTCAGGACTACTACAAAATCAAAAGAATGAGTTGCCTCTTATTCAGGTTCCTTGGAGAGGTCCCATTTCCAACATGGGATATTTATAATGTTGTTGGACACTTAAAATCAACATATCAGCACCTCTCCAGATTGCAACCATTCTCCTTATGTTTCTGTAGAAAAACAGGGTCAATTACATTTGAAAAGAATCAGCAAAGGGAGGCTGATTTGACAGAAGCCGAAGAGAAGCAGGTTCTGTTACAGCCAGAAGACTGTCAGAGCAAGTCCCTGCTGAAAGCGTTATGGAGCATGTTCGGAACCTATTTCCTTTTTGGTACCCTCAGCTTGGTCATTTGTGATGTCTTCTTGTTCTCAGTCCCAAAGATATTCAGGTATGTGAACATTTTGCAATGATCTTCCGGAAGAGCACACACAAACACTAATGATTTTTTTGAGCTGAAGAAAGGACCTAAGTTGAAATCTCTTTGGATTGCTAAATCTTTACTTGCTTGATCGAGCAAGATGTGGTCCTGGCTAAAGCAATGCCAGCTTTACCATTCATTACCTGTGGGGATATTTCACACTCCATCACCAACTTCTGAAAATTGTTAGACTCTGGAGAGCAGTTGCTGACATATTACAAAATGTCGTAGCATTTCACAGGCTGCCAAACATCAGTTGGATGGCAGTGACTTCTTGTCAGTACTAATGTGGGCAAGACCCAATGTGTTGCAGTTTTGGAGGATATAAGCCTTGACAAATCGTTATTCAGAGACCTAGAATTTAGGAAACTGACTTAAAAATCATGAGAGTATTTTTTAATAGGAAGGTGCTGTTTCTGGAACTTGGCCCTCAGGGTTCACATAGATCATGTTTTTTCCCCTATAAATTTCTTTTATGGTCTTTAAAGCAGAGCTAAGGCTCTTAATTAGTTGCATGATTCCATGAGCAAAGAGCTTTAGGAAATACTAAATATAGCCCTTGGGATAAAATAGCAAGAGTTTGCAATACTACATGCTAACTATAGACTACAGTTCAGTTAATATTTTTATGCAAGTAATAGCTTTGCTGAAAAATGCCATTTTGGGATACCAAAACTCTGAATTTTAATCAAATCTGGCAAATAACTTCAGCCAAGAATTTGTAGAGGGAGTCAAGTTTTCAGCCAACTTATTGTTCTCTTGCAGCCTTTTTCTGGAGTTCATGAAAGACCAAGAATCCCCTAACTGGAAGGGTTATTTCTATGCAGGATTAATGTTCTTCTTAGCTTGCCTCCAGACTCTGTTTGAACAATGGTACATGTATACGTGTCTTGTAATAGGAGTAAGGTTCAAGACTGCAGTTACAGGCCTGGTGTACAGAAAGGTAAGTCCAGCCACTTTCCTTGTGGTTTTCTTGTGATCACCCACTAGTGATGTTCATGTTAACTGTATTCATTATTAGTAACCATTAGTCTGTTGATATTAAAGAGATATACCTAGTTTGCTGTGTCTGCTTACATTGCAAGAATGACGTTCAAATAGATCTCTGTTCATTCACACATTACTACAATGATGTCAAATCCTAGTCACTGTGAGCCTGATCCTTCTTTCCTTTAAAGCTGACATGGAACTCCGTCATTTTATTTTTCAAACAAAAGTTCCATTTGGCCTCTCTCTTTTCCCCCCCTAGATCTTAGTCATGTCAAGTGCAGCAAGGAAAGCAACAACAGTAGGAGAAATTGTCAATCTGGTGTCTGTCGATGTCCAAAAGTTAATGGATCTCATCATCTATTTTAATGGGATCTGGCTTGCTCCCATTCGGATTATTATCTGCTTTGTCTTCCTGTGGCAGGTAAAACCTATCCACTTCTGTTCATGGTATCATGGGCAAGGAAAAGTGATCAGGAGTCAGTCTGGGGTCCTTATAGGCCAGCAGTACCTGAAGTTCCCTTCTGTCTCTTAGCACTGTGATAGAAAGGACACACATGCTTCTATTATAAGAAAAATAAGTGCTTCTCTGCACAGTTAGGGATTTTTTTTCATTGTTGTACTTTGTCCTTACTTGGATGTTTTGCTTGACTTCATCCTTCCATTCCCAAAATATTGCACTTGCCTTGGCTAAATGTGTTGACTCCACTGTTCAGTGTGTTCTTCTAACTGAAGACAGTAAGCTATGTCCATTCTTAGTTTGCTGGTAAAGCTATTTTTCTGTAGTTGTTCCCTTCTAAAGCAAAATATCTCCCCCTTTGAAGTTGGTACCAAAAACATTTGCAGCTCTGATTCTCAGGATTCTGCTATTTACCAGAAGTTACTTTGTACAGTCTTAAAACGTAACAAGGAGTAATTGCCTACATTTCATCCTACAGTTGATTACCCTGAAATCAGGGAGCCTGGGAACAATTTTGGTGAAAGAGGAGACAGGTTTTTGAGGTACTGTTAGGAGAGATGTTCAAAAGGATCTTACTGGACAAAATCAGTGGGACAGGTGTCAATGATTGGATAGGGATGATCCCAAATTAGTGAAAGAGGGAGATGAGTTAGAAAACCTAAGAAGGTAATTTCTGGTCCTAATTCAATGAGACTTGTACTTTATATTGGCAGGATAAAGCCCCAGTGTTTCAGCCTTTTTGGCTGCATGCTAGATGAAGTAATCTGCCTTGTAGAATGGGTCAATCATGTTTGTAAGAACCCAGGTAGCTTTACAAACTGGGGTTTGCTGTACCCCTATCTGCTATCTCAGTTGCCCCAGGAGGAGAGCAAACTACTGTACTAAAAATTAAATTAACAACCAGCATCTATTATGATGAGCAGCATCATCATGCCAGAGATGCTGTTGCCAGGAGTCGATGGAGGTATCTGTTGAGAGTCCTGCAGGTCTGTAGTGGTTACTCAGAGTAACTGGTAGGCTGACTTGAGATAAAAGACTAGATAAGAGACTAGGTATAATCAGCTAGAGCCAAGCATGACCTATTGTCTATGAAATCTATGATGTGGTTACACATTGGATTAACTCTGCCAACATATCCCTGCTCAGCTCTGCTCTGCAGTGATTATTTAAGTACTGGCCTCTCTAGCAAAATGAAACAGCCACTGCAAACTAGCTGAGAACCAAGCTCATTGAAGTTGACAGTTAAGACAATATTGACCCAGATTCCCAGAAACACCACAACTGCTGTATTAAAATATGACTGTTCCAAATCAGTAGCTGATTTAAATTCAGTCAGGCCTAGTTATTTATGCAGGGTCTTATTTAACATTGACTTGTGTGTCTTGCCAAAGCCAGCCACGAGATGGCCCCATTCAATAAATTAAAAAACTGTTGAGAGGAAATACTTAGCAACAAAGAGGACTGGTGGGATCTCAGACATGTCCTGGGATCTCTCATAGACATGACTGCTCCTAAAAGGGAAACAAACACTCAGAGGCATGAGACAATCTATGAAAATCAAAATCACTTCTTGCTAACTCATTAGCTTCAAGGGCTGGCACCAGTGTACTTGAGAGGAGGCTCTGCTTTTACAAAATGAGTTCCTAGGCACTTCACAGCACACCAGCACAGTAGGGTATGGTTAGTGATCAATCCACAACTCCCACAGAGGGCTGAAGGAGAAATTGGCTGTTCTTCAATCAAATAGTCAAAGGTGAAATTGGAGGAGGGGTTTAGGGTTTTAGGCCCTTGTTTTTCAACATTTTTAGACTAAGGGGACCGCTCATTAGAGTCAAGGCACCCCTCCATAACTTTTGTGACTTGAACAGCACCCCATTTCAAAAAGGAACTTATTTATTAGTGCTTACCTCCTTGTTGAGAGGCCAGGCAAAGGACCTGGATAATGGCCAGGAGGAACAAGCTAAGCCTGCACGTACCTGCTTATCTCCTCACACCTGGCAATGCCCTATAGTGGACCAGTACCCTTATTAAGCATCACTGTTTTGGACCCAAGTCTCAAGCGAGAAGACAGGCAGTAAACAGAGTAGCCTGGAAAAGCATAACCTCTAAAAATACTTCTTATGTGATGATGGAAATTTCAGCTCTTCTCTCCTGACAGCTCCTGGGACCATCTGCCTTGACTGCCGTTGCTGTATTTTTTCTTCTTTTGCCTCTGAATTTTGCGATTACCAAGAAAAGGAGCCAGTTTCAGGTATCTTTTGCTTCCAAAAATGCAAAATTCTGTCTCTGCTTTGTAGGTTAAATTCTGCCATCCTCACTCAGGAAAGGATCCCACAGAGCCCAAGGATACTCAGTGAAACAAAGGCAGGCAATTACAAATAGGTATGTTGTGCAAAGGGGGTGTATTGCATTGTACTACTGATACAGGACTTCACATGACAGCTCAATGTTAGTTATATATACTGATCATTACTGTTAGGGTCCTGGATCCAAAGCTTATGAAATTACCATAGTTACAGATTTCAGACAAGCACTCTCCAATATGATTGTTTATTCCAGGTACTGGGAACCAAATGCTAATATTCTCTACTTCTATTAAAAATTAAACTATTTAAAGATGGAAAAGCAAATATCAGCCTGGCAGACCTACTAGCAAAGGGAGTTGAGTTTAACTGCCAGGGGATCCTTCAGAATCACAGGCAGGACCAAAATGGTGCTCATAAACTCATTCATAGTACATTCATGTGGTCCATTTCAGGAGGAGCAGATGCAGCATAAGGATGACAGAGCAAAACTCACCAATGCTATTTTCAGCGACATCAAAGTCATCAAACTGTATGCCTGGGAGAAAGCCTTTATGGAGAAAGTGCTTGGTATCCGGAAGCAAGAACTACAAGCCTTAAAAAGGTCTCAGCTTCTGTTTGCAGTGTCTCTGTCTTCCTTCTACTCATCTACTTTCCTGGTGAGCAGTTAGGCCTCTTTCATAAGCATTCACTGTTATTTCTACAGGCAGACTCCATCCTCCACAGAGACTGCAGTGAACTTTGCACCCACAAGGAGTTCCCTGCAGAATCAAGATTTAAATAAATGACATTGTCAGTCTCACTGCCCAGACATGCACATTTCTATCACCTCACCATGGTGGCAGTGCTGGAACAATCCTTATAAGTGGCACATCATCAAACTCTCTGTGCCATCAACAGTTTCTGAGACCTTTGCCAATAGAACTCACAGGACAATGTAGAAGTGGTTGTGTCTTCTCCTAGGTTCCATAATGCAGGCTTCAGAGCCCTGGGAGAGAGACATTATTTGAACCCCCTCCCCTGTGCCTGCTGGAGTCAGTGGTGTGCTGTCCCTTTGCTCCATTTCAGATTGCACTGGTCATGTTTGCAGTCTACACCTTGGTGGATGAGACCCACGTCCTTGATGCCCAGAAAGCTTTTGTGTCCTTGACGTTGATCAACATTCTCAACACTGCCCACTCCTTCCTGCCATTTTCCATCAATGCTCTTGTGCAGGTTAGTTTCAGACCGTGTTCTCATTGGCTCGTTCTCATTGGCTTGGCCATGTTGTTTCTGTGAATGTCATCACTATATGGTAAAAATGGGGATTTTTTTATGGCACTTCATATCACTGGATCAGGTAGTTAAATGTCATTGGGTGACAGAATGGAGCATGGATGTCTTACAGTCACTCAGATACATGAACCCATATATCATCAGTACTCCTTAGAGTAATGAAGTGGTTTTACACAGCAGCTTTGCAATACATTTGGGATGTCACCATTCAGTGTAAAGTAATATTCCTGATACCATGTTTATCTGAATCTAAGACAACCCTGAATTTAAGATGACCCCCCCAATAATTAGTCTATATATGGAATATTTATAAATTTGTAATACTTTTCCAGGTATAGGCTCTAATTATTGGAGGGTTGTCTTACCCCCCCCTCCCCCCCCACAGCAGGGGGAGCAGTACTGGGGGGTCAGGTGGCTAGGGGGCCAGTCAGGAACCCCCTTGCCCTCTGCCCCCACTTCTCCCTGCAGCCTTCCTGCTCTTCCCTGCCACCTGTACCCCCGCCCTCAGCTCCCCACAGTCCCTACCTCTTCTGTCCCCAGTTTCCCACAGTCTTTGACCCTTGCCCCCGCCCCCACTCCCCACAATTTCTGCCCCTCTACCCCACTCCCCACGGTCTCTACCTCGTCCCCCCCTTCCTCTTACTGTCAAACACTGCTTGGGCTTTAATTCCTCCCAAAATCATGGAGCGCACAGAAGCTCAGGCCTTGCTGGGCCATGCAGCAGCAGCAGTACTGCTGATTGACTGGGCAGCAGACAGTTTCCCTGTACCCTGTGCAGGGAATCCAGCCCAAGCCCAGCTGTGCCTGACAGTAAAAGGGAGGGAGGGGGAGGGTGGTGTAGAAGTTGCAGAAGGCTGTTGTGGGTCTGACTCTGGTCCCGACCCAGGCTCAGGGCCAGGCAGAGCTATAACTACCTCCCTCCCTCCCCCCCACTCCTGCTTCTACTTTGTATGGAAATCTAAGATGAGGGACCTTTTCCCCCATGCTGCCTAGGGGGAAAACCCTTGTCTTAGACTCAAGTAAATATGGTATTTACACCCCTAAAACACCACAAACATATAAGGTCAGAGACAGCTCTAGGGCTTCCTATCCTAGCTAGATAAATAGGATGTCACAACTAATAAAATGGCACTAGGACTAGACAGCCAATGGGTCAAGTTCAAATCCCCACTGTTCTTCAACTGGGAAGCATCTGCCTTTGGTTCCTTTGTTTCTGAATAGTCCTATAAAGCAGGCACCATTGGTAAAAAAAGATTCTGGAAACATGTGACATTCAAATGTCTGGCTAGAATGGGCACTCTTTTGGAGAAAGAAGAGACAGGGAAAGCTGGGTTGGGCTGCTGAGTTGGAGGGAAACCAACACTGCTCTATTCTTCCTCTTTCATAAAATTAATTTTCCATATAAATGGCAAAAGCCCAATCATAGAAATAAACAATCCGAGCTCAGTATTCACTTTACCTTGCTTTACAATTCAGCATCTGTTTATGTTTCAGGCCAAGGTTTCCTTAAACCGTTTAGCTGCATTTCTTAGCTTGGAAGAGCTGGATTCAGACAACATGAACACAAATCTGTTGGATAGCTGTAAGTTTCCATTATTGTGAATGGGCACATAGCAGGGGGAAGAACAGACCATGTGGAATTTGGATTCCCATTACGGTCACTAGTTTTATTAGTTTTTGTTGCAGCTATAATCAGTTGCTGTGATTTGACAGCAAATGTCAAGATACACAAAGAAAATCTTAACTGGTGGGAGGGGCTTTAAGAAGAGGGTGGAGAAGATTCAGTGACTGTAACATTAAAAGCGTCTTTAAAGATGATAATGCAGCTTCTAAGGATCTCTGAATAACTCAAGTATGGGCAAAGGAATCAAAAGGTCATATCCTCAACAAGTAAAAGTAGCACCATGAACAAGCTGAGAACATAACCCACAAAAGCTCCTCTTAAAGATATTGGGTCAGATCTAGATATAACCAAAAATTACTCTATCTGATAGCAAGGTGATTCCAATCCAGTTGTTGGTATATCAGCATTTGAACATGGGCACACTGGAAAGACTGTGTTAAAATGGCATTTATTCCCCTTTTATTAAGACGTGGAGAACATCAGTGATTTACTGCAATCAATCAATGCACCAGGTCTTTAATCAGCTCTTTAATCAGCATGAATGTAGCTCTTGCTAAAAGCATGTATGCCTTTTGTGTTTCTCTATTTTAGTCAAGAAATGTATCATCATAAGGAATGGAACTTTCCGCTGGAGCAAAGAACATTTTCCTTGCCTGAAAAGGTATAATTTTTTTTGAATACTTCTTTCCATAGGTTGTGAGAAGGGCTGACAGACAGGCCTGGCAAGTGAACCCGGTACAAAATAGTCTGGAGGAGTTTGCTATCTCAAATTGTTCTGAACGATTTACAAACTGAGGCAGAAAGCAGGACGTGTAGCATGCATGTGCTGTGTCTGAATGTGGGTACAATACTACTAGGATGCCCACTTCTGTATTTGGGTATTGGGTGGGCACTGAGGTACATCAAGCTGGTATTTACTTGTCCAGATATAGACCTTGGGTAACTTAAGGCAGCTACACTTAAATATTGGAACTGTGATATGCATTTGACTTTACAGTGTAGCCCATTTTATTCTGTAACACTTACCTCACAAGGCCTGCCAGTTCCAGAAGTGGAGAGTATTATAAATGCAACAAGAACTTTGCTTAGAGCAGTGAAAGAAAGGCATAAGCTGATAGGGTTTTTGTCACAAATCTGAACCTGATACTGATTGTGCTCAAGATCAGGGGTGTTCATATCCAGCACTTTGGTTTAACCTATTTTACAGAAATTGAGTTTCAAAGAGCCTTTAAGTAGGATCTGGATCTGGCTAGACTCCACAGGCACTTTTACACAGGCTTTGACATATCCTAGTTAGAACACGTGAGAGCATACTTAATTAATCAAGCAGTGCTACAGTGTCTTATGCCGTCAGCATCCCCACATTTCAAAATGGTGGCAGGAGCACTTTAACTAAAGCTCAAATCAACTTTAGTTAAAGCACCTCCTCTGCCATTTTGGAACACAGGACACTGAATACATGAGATGCTGTGGGCATTTTAATTAGAGCAGCTTCCCAGAGTCTCTGTGATTAAAACACCCCCACCCCAGAGCATGTATATCAGTGCCCCAGCTCTACAATAATAAGCAACAGGGCAGAGTGATGCCTGACAGCTTCTTGGTCAGGGACAACTATGAAGGGATAGGTTTTGAGGTGCTGGAAAGTCAGCAGTGCAAACAGAGGTGGTTTGACTGTCCTGTGTAGCTGAAGTTTTATGGGACAAGGGGAGGCAAACATTTTCTTTCTCCAGAAGGGACATGAGCCAAAGTCTTGTTAGTTTCCTCTGCAACCATTCCATCTCCGCAGCTCTGATGGCAGTGACCTCTGGAGCTATGGTGCTGTGTTTTGGCAGGATAAATTTATCTGTGCTGGAAGGCAGCCTGCTTGCTGTGGTGGGCCACGTGGGAGCTGGAAAGTCTTCTCTGCTGGCAGCATTACTTGGGGAGCTGCAGAAGTTGGAAGGCCACGTATCTGTGAAGGTAGAGCTTTCCCTGAGTGTTTGCTCTTGATCAGGACATAAGCAAAGGTGCTGTGTTGACCAAGTTTCATATGTAATCACTGCCTTTTGATAAAAACCCACCAAAAAGCACACTTTGGTGACTTGGCTGCATATATCTCACAGGGGCATCCTGGGCCATTGCACGGGGTGTGTGAGGACTATAATTGGGCTCCCAAATCAGCTATTACTCTGCTGAAACACATTGGGCAGATCACTTCACACACTCCTATGCCTCAATTTCCTCATCTTCAAAATAAGCATGATGACACTTCTTTTACCTTGAAAGTGCTGAGTAGGTGAAAGCCCTCTCAGAGTACACACTACAGACTGTCATGCAGGAGAAGTGCCTTCAGTGGTTTGGGTCCCATGAGCTTTGTGCTGCACCAGCTAATTGCTTCTGGTACCCATGCTTAGTGCTGTCTTCATCCTAGTGCATTGTGGTTTGACTATAGGAGTTACTTGCTTAAATTATCCTTTGGGCCTCATTTTAGGGTTTTTTTGCACCAAACTGCAGCAAGGCAGCTGGTGGGGGGGGGGAAGGGGCTTAAAAAGCAAGATTTCTGCCATCTAGAATATTCTTCCTTCCTTTGAGAAAAGCTTATGAAAAAGATAAAGCTCATTAGTGAGACTCTCCTATTGCCATATCCCAGGGCACAGTGGCTTATGTCCCCCAGCAAGCTTGGATACAGAATGCTTCAGTGGAAGACAATATCCTGTTTGGAAAAGAGATGGATGACAGTTGGTATAACCGAGTGATACATGCTTGTGCGCTGCACCCAGACCTGGAAACCTTCCCTGCAGGAAGCAGAAGTGAAATAGGAGAAAAGGTTTCTCAACATTATATGCTCTAAAAGATTTCCATGCACAGCTGGTAGTTTTTGCTCCCTAGACTGAGGCACTTAAGGGGACCCGTTTTGCTGTGGGCAGATGCTCAGGACTTTCTGAACATCAGGCCCTAATTATAAGGGGGTCTCCGGTTGGGCACCTGAAAGTGGAGGCAACCTAAACTGATAAGTGCAGTGATAAGTGGTTAGCTTCCTGGTTATCTTTTAATTTGGGGCAGGCGCAGTCTGGCAGGGAAGGGGGGGCAGGGGAGGTACACGATGC